ATTTTTGAACAGAAGACCAAATTAGAGCTTTCACTCATGCAATTAATAGGGATTGAACTTCTTAGCGCTGCGGTTAACAATATCAATTCGAAGTTTTTTTTTTGAATTTTTTGAAAGAATTAGACGAATTTACTCATAAACATCCGTGAAAGTAATTTTCTAACACGTGAGGAAACTGCATTTTAAAAGGGCGGTGTGCTAGATTAACCGAGGCTTACAGAAGATAATTTTTGAACAGATTTTGAAAATTACTCCTTGGGGCACGCAGATTGATCTCTTCACCTCCAGAAACACCAAATTAGATCTTGGTTCATTATATTGGGATTGAACATGCTTAGCTCTGCAGTTTGCAATATCTTTTCTGATATTTTATTTTTTTGAACGAAAAAGACGCAACAACTTTGTAAATATCCGTCAAGGTACTTAATTTACGCGTGGGGCCGATGCATTTTCTAAACGTGATGTGTTGACTAAGCAGGGCTTATAGGAGATAGGTTTCGAACAGATCTTCAAAAGTACGTTCTTCTGCGGGCATTTTGATCTATCCCTCTTTAAATAGACCAAATTAGACTAAATTAGAGCAAACGTTGTAGTGGGATTCAACCTGCTTAGCGCTGCGGTTATCAAAATAGTCTCTTTTTGGCTGAGAATTGTCTTAGATGTTAACTTAAAAAGGATCAATTCTAAATTACCGAAAGTGTGCCCGTTAATATTATGCCTTTTTTCGTGGATCAGATATTGACTGATTTACTTCAATTAAAACTAGAAATTCTTGTAATGAAAAATGACTAGTTTTTAAATAGTAGTACAATTTTTCGCCTTTTTTCATGCTCAATGTTTTCGAAGTGAGGAAAAAAAGGTTAAATCTCTTTCAAGTTGAAATCTAACAAAATTGAGGATGCGAATTAGTGATATTTAAGTGACTGAATGATTTGTTCTCAACCGAAAAAAATGATCAAAAACGCGACAAGGACTGGTCTCTAAAAATAAAAGACTCGGAATTTTAATTCAGGAGCAAATCAATAAACAAAATTTTGATAACAGTCAGATGCAGGTTTTGTCAGATCTTTGAGCCGGCAAATAAATTGACCTGATATTCAGTTCTTGATCCAAATTTATTGAAAAAAATTGAAATTTTCCGACTAAAAAAAGAATTGTTCTTCAATTTTTGTTACCTTGTTCTTTACTAAAAACAAGGTTTCGTTTAATAAAGTTAAGAAACTCACATAAAATACTTCCTAATCCCACGTGACCCAAAAAAGATTGCACCCAATTCTGTCTACCCAAAGGATGCTGCAACAGGGTCAACCAGCCGACAACTAGGACGAATTAGTAAGACGACAGATAAATTAGTAATAAAAAAATGGTGAAAGACTATATAAATATGAAAGACTTTTCCAGAAAGTCTATCTTCTAATAGTGCTTTTAACTCTAGCTTAGACTTAGCTGTTCAACCAATCTAATAGATAAAGATGGATAAAGCCGATTTAACAGCCTGCATCTAAATCAACAAGACTGCTCGTATCAGGGCGAAGCCCTGAAAGTTCCGACTGCCTTTTAACGTTTATGGAGCAGTAATAGCATAAAAAAATTAAATAAAATAAAATAAAATGAAAATTTTTTTTTCTAAAATTTGAAAATTTTTCTATGCAAATCATCCCCCCACACTCCATTTGAAGTACTCTTGATTAGCTTTGGCTTATTGAACAAATCAATTATGGCAAATAAGCTTCTTTCAACCAATTTGGAACGATTTCTAAATTTTACAAATTTTAAACCCTCATAACTTTACGAAAAATGATCACAGGTAAAATATCTTTTCAAATTTAAGCTCAAGACAACAATAGTTTTCGAATGATATAAAAAAATCCGTCAAAAATGGCTAGTTAAAAAGTCGAAATTTGTCTGAAGAAAAAAAACCCACCCCGAGCACAAATATTCCGTTACTTTCGTATCGAAAGTCGGAACAATAACCATGTTTATCAGTTTGTTGTTAACATTAAAAATGTTAAGACCTTGTCGTTACTCATGCAACAATAATGAACTTGGTTTTAAGAAACAGAACTCACAAGGATCCGACAAAGTGTTTGTTCAAGCAAGGTGAAAAGGTTCTATATTTATCCACTGATAAAAAGTGGTCTTTAAAAGTCAATATTTGGAATAAACGTTTTTTTTTTCTTTAAATTTGATAGGCAATGTTTCCAGTTTCGCGATGTCTTAATTTTTTTCCAAGTTAAAAATTCTTTGTTGACGATTTTAATACTTTTGAATGAGCTCTTAACTTTAGATCAAAAGCACGGGTTTGTGGGCTAGTGAAGGTACAATGTGGCCTGGACCAACTTAGTTTTAAGATTTATGGCGAGTTGTAAGTTTGAAAGATCGGTTTTGGTCGATACTCGCATTACAAGTTAGTTGGAATGTGTTTAACTCGTGATTTGGCAAATCTGAGCTCAAGTCTAAAAAAGAGGACATGGCCAAGCGGCACCAACTTTTGGGAGACTTTTGGGTACCAACTTTAAGCACTAGCCCTAAATGTTGAAAAAAGAGTTTCAAATTTTTTGAAAAATTTAGTTAAGTTCAAGTTGAAAACTCTGATAATTGAAAAAACCCGTCAGAAATTTGCACTAGACACCAACCAATCGAGGAATTTTGTTTTCTCGAAAATAGAATGTTCAGAGAAACCATTGCAGTTTAATGAGATTCAAGAATTTCTTCTGCAAGGAGTTTTTATTTTTCAACCCAAAAAATTTCAAAAAGTCATGTATGGCTGGACAACTCAAAATGGAAATCACAAAACGGTGATGGCTTTGAATTCTAGAGGAGATATCAGTAGATATTAGAAAACGTGACTAAGGATAAAACTGTGTTTTATTTTCACATGATTAAAGCTGTGGTGTTCTTTTGAGCGAATTTTTTTTTGCGTCCAGAGTTTTCACTTGATGTCACTATTTCAAATGAAGTTGGTTAGGCTGTAGGAAACGTGAAAGGTTTAAGATTTTTGCTGACAAAAAGTTTTCATAAAATTGTTTCTTACTAATTGTTTCCAGTTCAAACATGAGCATTCAATTTTATCAGAAAAACTTTTTTTTTAAAACTTAGTTTCAGTTGCTTCATAATAATTCATAGTCAAGAAAGTCAAAACATAGGGCGGGCACTGTCGAAACATACCCAATTTAGGCGGACTAGGTCAAAACAAGCAGAATTTGATCTAGACAGTTGCAACTCATCTAAAATTATACGAATTGGCGAGTTGGTCAAAAAAAGCTGTCTCCTCAGCCCAATTTCAAACATTTTTACGCATGGAAACGCCATAGTGTACCATTTTCACGAGTAAAAAAGTTGTATGACTTGCACTTTTGATTTATAAGCTATTTTTCCATGAATTGCGCGCCAAAAGAAACGTGTTTTTGGCAAACATATTCAAAAAAATCCTAAAATACTGTTTTTAACTGTTTTTTGAATTGATTGCTTGCCGCTCAAAAATGTTTTAATAAAATTTCTTCGATGCTTTGCCGTACAATCATTCGAAAAAATCGGAAATTTTTGTTGCTTTTCACTTTCATAAAAACGCTGAGAGTTTAATCATTTTCTTTTTCTCTGATAAATAAAAGCTGTAAATTATCAATGGTTGTACTGTAGGGGTAACTTATTGGTATCACATGGGGGAAACTATTTGGTTTTGAATCTAGTTTTGATCACTCCATTTCTTGACAATCGTTTATAATCAAAAAGCCATGCTCAACCGATGTTTGGGTTTTATTACGAAGCTAAAATTCTTAATCTACTAATTTATCTCTGATCAGCGCAATAATTCAACTGAACAGTTCTGAAAAGCCATGCACTGTAAGTGGAATGTAACTATTCCGATCATTCGTAAATTGAGCAGTAACTTTGTATTCGGGTGTGTTTTTTTGCATTATTTGTTTTCCACGCAAAATAAGCTACCACATATAATCATTGAGAAATTTGAGTGATATATCATATTGAAGCCATTACAGTGTAGTTTGAACGACTTTTAAAAATTCAAAAAATGTGTCCTAAAAGTCCTGCTCACGACGCTATTGTTCACTCTACTTACCCCAAAATCTTTGATAGTAGTGCAAGGCCAAGCTCTAAATTTAGGTTAAATCGTTAATTGAACTTCGTTTCAAAACAAAAATTTGTTAATTGAAGAATCTGATCTTCTCAGTTTTTTTTATTTGCCCTGTCTTTTCTTTATTTACCCTTTTTTTAATTTGCCCCCTCATACGCCCCACCCCAAGTACCTAGTCGTGGGATTACCTTGTTTTTCGAGACATCAATTTACCGAATACCTGGTAATCCTGGACTTCCTGAAAGGAACCATCCAGCATCCCTGTCGACCAAAAAGTGGAAACGTTGGGATTGATTTACTATGAAGCAGAAAAAGCTACAAAACCAGGCTTTGACGCATGCTGGTTACCTTCCCAGTAAAATCAACATTTTTCAAAATAGAAATTGGATTATTGTGAGTTGAGTTTTCTTTCAGTGTTTTCATGTATTGAGGAGAGCTCAGTAAAAAATCGAGTACTTCTCAAGCTGAAACCATCATATTTTTAGGTGGTTTCTATTCGTTTTGTTGCATATCGATTAAAATTAGCTTAAAATAGACCAAGATTAGTATGAGTTTTGAACAAAAAACACTCTTTTTTGTCAAACAATAATCAATAAACTGCTGAGTTTTGAGCAATATTAAGTGCCCTTTGAAGAAAAACTACCAAACTCATGGTTATTTTTGAGCGGTTTTCGAGCGATAGGCAAAAAAATCGCACACAAACCGCCAAGAAGAAGATGATTCGCAGTCTGAACAGTAATCAAAATCACTGAGTCTTCATCTCACCCAAGATAGAAAACTGAGATTGCGCTAGTAGTTGGAAACAGTTACCAAACTCAGACAACATGTTTGGCTGAGGGTTGAATTCCTTTGACTGAGACGTCAGTTGAGATTGTTATTTTTGATTTTGAACTTAAAGAATTCCAACCTGTAGTAGAGTGAGTTTCTTTCCTCGGCTTCTGAAGTCGGTGACATTTGAGAAGTATTCTAGAGGGGTCACGCCCTTTCTTTGACCGAATCTCTCGTAGATTTCAGTCTGGTCATGACAACAATCTCCACGCTCTAGAAAACAAGTATAAGCCAACCCAAAGCAACTAATTTTTTTGTAACTGTAAAATAATAGTTACGAAACAGTTCAGTACTTCCACTTAGAACAGTGAGGTCAAAAGCAAATAGAAGAAAAATTGCTGGGGTAATTTCTAGACTGTCTAATCACTACAACTTAATTGTAAAGAGGCTGCCATCGGTGACCTTCTTTCAAAATAGTGAACGATCGAGTATATTCTAAAAAAACTGTTTATATGAGGGCGAAGCCCTAAATGTTCCAACTAATCTTTAAAATCTATTGAGTAATGTTCCTGTTTAAAAAAGGGATAAAATCGAAAAGTTTCAAAACTACAGTAAAACTGTTTTCAGATTTTGGATAAAAAATTCAGTCAAAAAAGTTTAGTTAAAAATTTTAAATTTATCTGGAGGAAAAACAAATATCTCGAGCTATATTGTTTCGTCAATTGACTAGTTCTCGGTGTGCTTTCATTTTTTTCCAAAAAAAACATATATTTTTCAATTAAAAAAAGACATTAGGTTAAAATTTTTGACAGAGATTAAATGTTGCTGACCTTAGGCAGAGTTAATAGCTTCAATTGAATAGCTTCAATTACTGAATATTCTGGCTACACTTAAATGCTAAAAAAAAATTTGGTTGAAGAACTGACAAAATAATCAAAAAAGGATTTCATCTTCCTTTTATCCCAACATTGTGTGAATATAGCGTCTCGTTTAATAAAAATAAATTGTTGTCTCAATTGAATTTGGAACGCATAAATTCGCTCCTTAAGCGTTTTGATTTGGCTCGTAAACTATCCCCAGTTGACCAAATTATTAATTTTCAAACCACCACAACTTTCTAAAAATTGGTCGTAGGTGAAATAACTTTTCAATGTTGATCTTCAAACAATATAGCTTCAAGATCGTATACAGAAATTTCCGTCAAAAATGCCTAGTCAAAAATTCAAAAAGTGACAAAATAACAAAAACGACTAAAAGCATGAAAGTTCCTCACTTTTTTCAAAAATTGGAACAAAAATATAAATTTGAAAACTGGTCATCTAGGAAACAACGCTTCTGGCGCTGTGTAGATAATCTTTTTCAGCGTTTCCCGGATTTGATATCTCATTCCGAGGCAAAACTGTGCACTGGATAGGCGCAGAATTTGATGTCTGTATATCAGTGGAAACCAGAGACAAGTCGTAATACATGTTGCAAAGCGTAGCTGGACTCCACTTACAAAACTTCGTAGATTTCGCAAACAAATATTTCTGAAGTAAGTTAATATCGGCTGTAAGTGGATTCCGAAAAATCTATAAAATTCGCAATTTTTTTAAAACTGATTTAAATCAGTTCTTGGTTATGAACAACTAAAACCTAGAACTAGATTTATTGTTTAGAAAATGCTGAATTCAACTACAACGAAGTTGCATCCTTTTGTGATCTTTGACATTTTTAAAGATTAACCAATGGCACTTGCCGTCTATCAGTTATATTGTTCTGACAATTTTTTATTTTAGCTCAAATTGAAAGTTTCCCCTAATTTTTTCTGAGCAAGAAATTTTCGTATATTTTTTAGGAAAATTGACTCACCGCTGGTGACCCACAATTAAAAGATTCAATCAAAAAAATTACTTTTAAGACGTAGCTAGATATATTACTGAAATCCGCAAACAAAGACGGAACTTTGCAGATTCTGCTTGCAGTTCTGAATTACGCGACATCATAAATCAACTAACCGCATAAGTTTTCACTTATTTGTGAATTTCATAAACTGCTTCGGATTCCGCAAGGTTTGTTTCAGATTTCGCAAATTCGCTTCTTAATTGAGTGTTTTTAAGCTGTACATTCTTTTAGCTATTTGTTTAGGAAATCCGAAGCAGCAAGTAAGATTAAAGAAAAATAGCAATTTTGCGGGTTCTGCAACAAATCTGATTTTTCTTTTTACGGAATCCGAAAAAATTTCGCAAATTGCATAGTTTGGGCTCGTAACGCTCAAAACTTTTGCCCGGACTTACAAAATTTATATGTTTTATTTCAATTAATTGCTTCGATTTACCCTATTCTTTTCAGCACAAGTAAATTTTGTCGGAACTGTGTCGTATTGGCACAATACTCTTGGAACCTTACCGAATGCGTTTCTGCGTGAAAGTGAGACCCAGTTGATTCTCTTGTGCACTGGTCGAATCAGTTGGTAGAACTGGGCAAAGTCGAACGAGTGGGGGATGCGAAGAGTCTGTCTACTGTCGATCACAAAGCCGATGTAGCAGAACACTTCTCTGAAACGAGCCACCTGGAAACTGACCGGGCTGATGGCCTAATGGTGTTATCCCTTACGATTCAGGTTTATTTATTTAATTATTTTTAATATATATTTATTTGTTTTTTTACTTTTTTTGTTTCTTATCGCATGAGCAACCAAACACTCAATAACAGAATCTACATTTTGTAGTTCAGCTCATCATAGGACAGTCAGAAAACCTGTAAATTTATATGATTAACTCTGTAACTACAGGGAGTCGATTCCTTCAAAAATTCGACGCCAAGCTTTTCATAAGGGATTTTTGATACTTTTTTGGTACTCATCAAATTTCAAGATATTTAAGAAAAGTAGACATTGCATTATTCCTCCAATTCCACTCAGATTAAATGACAAATTAGAGTCCTTCAAAATAAGCTTGTGAGCTAGGGTTGATTACAAAACTACATTTATTATTTTAAAAAAAAAACAAGTTAGATGCAGAAAAAAATGGTGTAATTACCGAAGAAAGATCAATTTTAGCGACCTATCATTGTTAATCTAGAACTCTGCTCTGCCCATTCCCAAATGAATTGGCTGCAAAACGGGTAGATACTTTTTGGGATAAAGTATCATGCCTATTATCTCTTCCCGGGCTAATAAAATAGAACCTTATTTGCTTCCAATACCAATAAAAAAAATATATAAGTAGCTTTACAGCTGCTAAAAACAAATCGAAAGCAGCTACGCTCAAAGCCTGCAAACTTATTCCATTGTTTATAGTTTATTTATCGAGCTGTTATTTAAACCAATTTCCTCGACAGCATTTTGCGATAATCAGGCCTGTCTTTTTTTAATTTCGAAGTCATATGAAATGGCTTTTTCCAATTGTTCCATTACGAGGCCAAACTGTGCACTGGATAGGCGCACAATTTGTGTCTGTATGTTTTTGGATTCCAGAGACAAGTCTTAAAACATGTTAAAAATTTGTCGGAATGATCACAGGAAAGTATAGAACAAAAGAAGAACAAAGGGAGCGTCATTGTTGCGGAGTTCGCTTACAATGCACAAAATGCACAGTTTGGCCTCGTAATGCCTTTTTTTGTACTACCGTTTTCCTAAAGATATGTTATCTTTTTCTTTCGCGATTTTTTTAAATCAGTTTTTTCTACATTTTATCTTTGTCCTAAAAAGTTAACTGCTCTTGTTTCCGTCGACACAAATGGAGTAACGACACAAAATACAATGTAGAAAAACCAATATAAAAAAATAAATAGTGATTTAATTGTGAAAAAAAAAACCAATGAGTTGTTCGAGTTGACATGGTCAAAAATTCAAACGTACGAACCCCAGCTCGGCACATGACCTGTGAGCGCCTTCAATTCTCTCATTTGGGAGCACAAAAACCATAGCTTTCCAGTTCGCAAATTCTGTGTCGATTGAAAATGATATGCCACCTAAAAAAAGATTTTACACTTTTCTATTTAAAAATTACTCATGTTAACAAAAACAATAGATCTACGCTTTTCATCATGAAGTTAGTCATGGGTGTTTGAAAAGCACCATTTTGACCAACTTTCGATAGCCTGTCATTACTCGATAGCTGGTATTTCAAAATTTTAAATGAAAGCATGCTAGCATGTGGCGAAATATTCCAGATCAGAACTCAATCCAAATATAAAAAGACTGGTCTGCAAAACTTTCATCGGATGAAAATTTATCCCTTTGCATTAAGAATACAAAGCAAATAAAATTATTAATTAAGATCACTGCTTAAGATAGTTTCAGGGGCCTTCAAATCTTTCAGGTGGAACCAGTTCTAAAATAGTATTTATAAACAAGTTATATTATTGATGGGTTATCACTATGAAATATTTATAACTAACCAATCATATTCCATCTCTAACATTGACACTTGTTTGTAAGTGCTGGAACTAGTTATTTGAATAAAACTTTGAATATAGTTGTTCTCCTTCTGGATAAACTCCAAGAACTAACTCGCTCAAACCAGTATACATTAGATCTGTTGAGACTAGGATATATACGAGTAAGATTAAGATCGATATAAGACTAAGAATTTGTACGAATCTATCCGGCTGAAAATATGATAGCGTGATGAGCAGACGGTATACCTTATCTGAAATTACTCTATGAGTATATCCAATAGGTCATAACTCACAGGGTTATACCAGAATCTGAAAAATTTTGTGATCATACAAAAATTTAATCCTGATATTTAACTTTGGCAGATGAAAATCAAATAGAAACCGATTAGCTTCTGCGTTTAATTTCATCAAAAACAAGAGTATTTGATTCGTGTAAAAGGTTATCTGTCAAGTAAGGCTGGAATAATAAATACCGATATCAAAATATAAAGAGATGAGAAAATGGATTACCCTGGTTTCCAGCCCAGGTTGAGATTTTTGAAAGGTGATTTGGCAGAAACAGTCCAATGATGTCCGAGTTTCGTTGTAGTTCAGGACTCTTCTGCTAATTCCCGATAAAGTCAAACAAATTCGCACAAAGTCGAACAATGTCCGGTAAAGTCGAATAAAGTCGAACAAACTCGAACAATCTTCAGTATAGTCGAACAAAGTCGAAACTTGTCCGGTAAAGTCGAACAAAGTCGAAAACGGACATCGTTCGACTCAAAATGTCGAAATCGGACATCGTTCGACTGAAAAAGTCGAAAACGGACATCATTCGACGAAAAAAGTTGAAAACGGACATCGTTCGACCATTTCGGTTGAACCATGAATCGAGCACCTCAGCCCGTGTTATACAGGGTTTGAGCGGTTTGAACGGAATTTTTAGGTGATTCAGCTCAGAATCTTGCTTTGGAATGGTGAAAAGTTTGAGTGGTTGATGAGAGTACTTTGAGTTTTTAAAAAAAATATATTGCGTGGTTTTTTATTTGATCTTTTAGGAGATGTAATGAACCTTGAGGACTATGTTAGGACCCTACAACATTTTTGTTTAAATTTTGGGCTTTATTTTGGTATTGCGGAAGGTAAAACGTTCAAAACTTGAGGAGTTAGATTGCTTGTGCCTTGCAAACCAGACATCGGGAGAAATTTTTCGGAAAAAATAAAAACATTTTAGCGGTTCTTAAGTGTCTTGAACGGTTTGATTGATTCTTGCTATGATTTGAGCAGTCTGAGCAGTTTCGCAGTTTGAGCAAACTTTGAGCTGTTTCTGATCGAGATATCGACAAGGGTAAAATTCTGCTGAAGTTGAAATGCAAATCGAAATCAAAATAACAACTTGTTTTTACTAAACTTGGTATTTTGATTGGTGTATTTTGATTGGTGAATTTGGTATTTGAATTGGTGAAATTTGACAGAAACAGTCCAATGATGTCCGAGTATCGTTGTAGATCAGGACTCTTCTGCTAATTCCCGCTAAAGTCAAACAAATTCGCACAAAGTCGAACAATGTCCGGTAAAGTCGAAAAAAGTCGAACAAAGTCGAACAATCTTCAGTATAGTCGAACAAAGTCGAGCATCGTCGAACAAAGTCAAAACTTTTCCGGTAAAGTCGAACAAAGTCGAAAACGGAAATCGTTTGACTCAAAATGTCGAAATCGGACATCGTTCGACTGAAAAAGTCGAAAACGGACATCTTTCGACTGAAAAAGTTGAAAACGGACATCGTTCGACCATTTCGGTTGAATCATGAATCGAGCACCTCAGCCCGCGTTATACAGGGTTTGAGCGGTTTGAACGGAATTTCTAGGTGATTCAGCTCAGAATCTTGCTTTGGAATGGTGACAAGTTTGAGTGGTTGCTGAGAGTACTTTGAGCTTTTTAAAAAAATATTGAGTGGTTTTTTATTTGATCTTTTAGGAGACGTAATGAACCTTGAGGACTATGTTAGGACCCTACAACATTTTTGTTTAAATTTTGGGCTTTATTTTGGTATTGCGGAAGGTAAAATGTTCAAAACTTGAGGAGTTAGATTGCTTGTGCCTTGCAAACCAGACATCGGGAGAAATTTTTTGGAAAAAAATAAAACATTTTAGCGGTTCTTAAGTGTCTTGAACGGTTTGATTGATTCTTGCTATGATTTGAGCAGTCTGAGCAGTTTCGCAGTTTGAGCAAATCTTGAGCTGTTTATGATCGAGATATCGACTAGGGTAAAATTCTGCTGAAGTTGAAATGCAAATCGAAATCAAAATAACAACTTGTTTTTACTAAACTTGGTATTTTGATTGGTGTATTTTGATTGGTGAATTTGGTATTTGAATTGGTGAAATTTGACAGAAACAGTCCAATGATGTCCGAGTTTCGTTGTAGTTCAGGACTCTTCTGCTAATTCCCGATAAAGTCAAACAAATTCGCACAAAGTCGAACAATATCCGGTAAAGTCGAACAAAGTCGAACAATCTTCAGTATAGTCGAACAAAGTCGAGCATCGTCGAACAAAGTCAAAACTTTTCCGGTAAAGTCGAACAAAGTCGAAAACGGACATCGTTCGACTCAAAATGTCGAAATCGGACATCGTTCGACTGAAAAAGTCGAAAACGGACATCTTTCGACAGAAAAAGTCGAAAACGGACATCGTTCGACCATTTCGGTTGAACCATGAATCGAGCACCTCAGCCCGCGTTATACAGGGTTTGAGCGGTTTGAACGGAATTTTTAGGTGATTCAGCTCAGAATCTTGCTTTGGAATGGTGACAAGTTTGAGTGGTTGCTGAGAGTACTTTGAGCTTTTTAAAAAAATATTGAGTGGTTTTTTATTTGATCTTTTAGGAGACGTAATGAACCTTGAGGATCCTACAACATTTTAGTTTAAATTTTGGACTTAATTTTGGTATTGCGGAAGGTAAAATGTTCAAATTTTGAGGAGTTAGATTGCTTGTGCCTTGCAAACCAGACATCGGGAGAAATTTTTCGGAAAAAAAATAAAACATTTTAGCGGTTCTTAAGTGTCTTGAATGGTTTGATTGATTCTTGCTATGATTTGAGCAGTCTGAGCAGTTTCGCAGTTTGAGCAAACCTTGACTTGTTTTTGATCGACTAGGATAAAATTCTGCTGAAGTTGAAATGCAAATCGAAATCAAAATAACAACTTGTTTTTACTAAACTTGGTATTTTGTTTGGTGTATTTTGATTGGTGAATTTGGTATTTGAATTGGTGAAAATTAGGTTATTATTCAATTTAAGCTGAAATTCAAAGCAAACTGAAAACAACACAAGATTGCTCGTAACAGGGCGAAGCCCTGAATGTTCCGAATGCGTTTTAAGGTTTATGATTAGCAATAACATTAAAAAGTTGAATGTAATAAAACAAAATGAAAAATTTTTTTTTCTAAGTTTTGAAATATTTTATGAAAATCATCCCCCCACGCGCCATATAAAGTACAAGAGATAGGTTTTGCTCCTTGTGTAAAATCAATTATTGCAAATAAGCTTCTTTCAACCAATTTGGAACGACTTCTGAGATCGATTATATCTCCGCTTACGCGTTGATAGAGCGAAATATATCGCGCGTTAATTGTCCCAAGTTGGCCAAAAAGGCAACCTTTAAACCCTCATAACTTTGCAAAAAAAGATCAAAGGTGAAATATTTTTTCAAATTTGAGCTCAAGACAACAATACTTTTTGAATGATATAAAACAACCCCGTCAAAAATGGCTAGTTAAAAAGTTGAAATTTGTCTGAAGAAAAAAACCCACCCCGAGCACAAATATTCCGTTACTTTCGTATCAAAAGTCGGAACAATAATATTTTCATTTCAGCGCTCGGTGTACAGTACTAGCAGATTTGGAGGAAGGCTGGGGTTGACGCGGAATTCTCCCCACCTCAAAGTTTCGACCCCTGGCTACCCAAACTGTTCCCCATTTGAACCTATTCTAAACCTCCATTTTTGGCTGCCTGACTATGGCTAGCTGACGCCCATTTATACTATTTTTAAAGGAAACGCAAGAAAAGGCCAAAACAGGGTCGTTTTAAAGCATTAGGAGAGCTCGGGAAATCGATTCGGTCGACCTGAAAAAACAATGTTTTCGAAAATTTTCAAAATCCACCACCCTCGAGAAAATCATCAATCGGTCCTAGTGTACAAACTTTCTAATCCTTCTATCTGCTCCAAAACTCCAAGAAACGGAAAATTGATGCGTGGGTGTGTTCTTTATTCAGTCAATTTTCAGCGATCGAAAAATTTTGATACCCCATTGAATGCTGAATCTGGAAACACGAGAGCTGGAAAATTGAGAGCTGAAAAATTGCCAATTTGGCTGCGCTTGTGACTATTTTTTGAGCGCTTCAAAGATTTGCTTCATAATGCCGAAAGCGTAACGCAATTGGCTTTTGCATGGCGAATTATCCCGCACAACAAAATTGTTTCAAATTGAATTGGGGCTAGTTAATTGGTCGTACTATTCTCGTACGACTCAAGTCTCGAGTTGACCTCCATTGATCAAAAACGTTAATAAGACAAAACCATAATCATACAAAACCACTTTATGAAAAAAAACTAATCATACAAACTTCATACATTTTGCTTAAAGCTTGTCATTGGAATTTCTAAGAAAATGTTCTCTTATTTTGGCTCAAAAATCGTTGTATCATCATAAAAAACTTTTTGTCAAAAAATGCTACTCATTCAAGTTCCATATAAGAAATTGTTTGACTAATGTTTTGTTGATGGCAACAACAAATATTTTTAAAGTTGTTTCAAAAATTTTTTCAAAATTTTTCGTCAAGTAAAACTAATTTTGTACTCAAACAAACCTTTTCCAGAAAGATTTCTCTAGGCAAAACTTAATTTACATAAGGTAGTCCGGGATACACAAAAGTTGGAATGTTTTTCCCTCTCGCTGAATAATTTTTTTCAAAACTCTCAAAACGCCTATTTCTTTTGTATGGCATTTTATGCAGGTCTGATTCAAGGACTGACTAGCTAAATTACAAACTTTCGAAAATTTCATCGTTGAAAATGTTTGCCAAAAATTATACGTTTGATACATTCATTATATTTTTTGTAAATGACGTTCTTATATTAAGTCAGATCGTTTTCTATACATTGTGTATGTGAGAATTTCCAACCATTGATGACATTAGTTGATCTCGAAACAATGTCCGGTAAAGTCGAACAAAGTCGAACAAAGTCAAAACTTTTCCGGTAAAGTCGAACAAAGTCGAAAACGGACATCGTTCGACTCAAAATGTCGAAATCGGACATCGTTCGACTGAAAAAGTCGAAAACGGACATCTTTCGACTGAAAAAGTCGAAAAGGGACATCGTTCGACCATGTCGGTTGAATCATGAATCGAGCACCTCAGCCCGCGTTATACAGGGTTTGAGCGGTTTGAACGGAATTTTTAGGTGATTCAGCTCAGAATCTTGCTTTGGAATGGTGACAAGTTTGAGTGGTTGCTGAGAGTACTTTGAGCTTTTTAAAAAAAATATTGAGTGGTTTTTTATTTGATCTTTTAGGAGACGTAATGAACCTTGAGGACTATGTTTGGACCCTACAACATTTTAGTTTAAATTTTGGGCTTAATTTTGGTATTGCGGAAGGTAAAATGTTCAAAATTTGAGGAGTTAGATTTCTTGTGCCTTGCAAACCAGACATCGGGAGAAATTTTTCGGAAAAAAAATAAAACATTTTAGCGGTTTTTAAGTGTCTTGAACGGTTTGATTGATTCTTGCTATGATTTGAGCAGTCTGAGCAGTTTCGCAGTTTGAGCAAACCTTGAGTTGTTTTTGATCGACTAGGATAAAATTCTGCTGAAGTTGAAATGCAAATCGAAATCAAAATAACAACTTGTTTTTACTAAACTTGGTATTTTGTTTGGTGTATTTTGATTGGTGAATTTGGTATTTGAATTGGTGAAAATTAGGTTATTATTCAATTTAAGCTGAAATTCAAAGCAAACTGAAAACAACACAAGATTGCTCGTAACAGGGCGAAGCCCTGAATGTTCCGACTGCGTTTTAAGGTTTATGATTAGCAATAACATTAAAAAGTTGAATGTAATAAAACAAAATGAAAATTTTTTTTTCTAAATTTTGAAAATTTTTATGAAAATCATCCCCCCACACGCCATATAAAGTACAAAAGACAGGTTTTGCTCCTCTTGTAAAATCAATTTTTGCAAATAAGCTTCTTTCAACCAATTTGGAACGACTTCTGAGATCGATTATATCTCCGCTTACGCGTTGATAGAGCGAAATATATCGCGCGTTAATTGTCCCAAGTTGGCCAAAAAGGCAACTTTTAAACCCTCATAACTTTGCAAAAATTGATCAAAGGTGAAATATTTTTTCAAATTTAAGCTCAAGACAACAATACTTTTTGGATGATATACCCCGTCAAAAATGGCTAGTTAAAAAGTTGAATTTTGTCTGAAGAAAAAAACCCACCCAGAGCACAAATATTCCGTTACTTTCGTATCGAAAGTCGGAACAATAATATTTTCATTTCAGCGCTCGGTGTACAGTACTAGCAGATTTGGAGGAAGGCTGGGGTTGACGCGGAAACCTCGCCACCTCAAAGTTTCGACCCCTGGCTACCCAAACTGTTCCCCATTTGAACCTATTCTAAACCTCCATTTTTGGCTGCCTGACTATGGCTAGCTGACGCCCATTTATACTATTTTTAAAGGAAGCGCAAGAAAAGGCCAAAACAGGGTCGTTTTAAAGCATTAGGAGAGCTCGGGAAATCGATTCGGTCGACCTGAAAAAACAATGTTTTCGAAAATTTTCAAAATCCACCACCCTCGAGAAAATCATCAATCGGTCCTAGTGTACAAACTTTCTAATCCTTCTATCTGCTCCAAAACTCCAAGAAACGGAAAATTGATGCGTGGGTGTGTTCTTTATTCAGTCAATTTTCAGCTATCGAAAAATTTTGATACCCCATTGAATGCTGAATCTGGAAACACGAGAGCTGGAAAATTGAGAGCTGGAAAATTGCCAATTTGGCTGCGCTCGTGACTATTTTTTGAGCGCTTCAAAGATTTGATTCATAATGCCGAAAGCGTAACGCAATTGGCTTTTGCATGGCGAATTATCCCGCACAACAAAATTGTTTCAAATTGAATTGGGGCTAGTTAATTGGTCGTACTATTCTCGTACGACTCAAGTCTCGAGTTGACCTCCATTGATCAAAAACGTTAATAAGACAAAACCATAATCATACAAAACCACTTTATGAAAAAAACTAATCATACAAACTTCATACATTTTGCTTAAAGCTTGTCATTGGAGTTTCTAAGAAAATGTTCTCTTATTTTGGCTCAAAAATCGTTGTATCATCATAAAAAACTTTTTGTCAAAAAATGCTACTCATTCAAGTTCCATATAAGAAATTGTTTGACTAATGTTTTGTTGATGGCAACAACAAATATTTTTAAAGTTGTTTCAAAAATTTTTTCAAAATTTTTCGTCAAGTAAAACTAATTTTGTACTCAAACAAACGTTTTCCAGAAAGATTTCTCTAGGCAAAACTTAATTTACATAAGGTAGTCCGGGATACACAAAAGTTGGAATGTTTTTCCTTCTCGCTGAATGATTTTTTTCAAAACTCTCAAAACCCCTATTTCTTTTGTATGGCATTTTATGCAGGTCTGATTCAAGGACTGACTAGCTAAAATCACAAACTTTCGAAAATTTCATCGTTGAAAATGTTTGCCAAAAATTATACGTTTGATACATTCATTATATTATTTGTAAATGACGTTGTTATATTAACTCAGATCGTTTTCTATACATTGTATATGTGAGAATTTCCAACCATTGATGACATTAGTTTTGAGTAAAACAAGGTGTGGTCACTTGTGTACAAAGTTTTGAGAAATTAATATTGAAAAACAAAAAACGAATTCTTTGTTTTATGGAAAATTCTAGTCAATCAATTTCCATATATGAAAAATTGCCTTTTTTATATGAAATCATAGAACTTTCATGCAATATTCTGTCTTATGGAATTGCATGAAAATTGAATGATTAACATTTTTCCATATATGAAACTTGTATGAGTAGCATTTTTTATCAACCCGGGTTTTTCACACTTGATCTTTGATAATGTTTAAAATTTATAGTTTTTCATTATTTTCTCTTCCCGAGAAAAAATTTAATATTAATTAAGGGCAGTCGGTATAATCAAGGCTTTGCCCGAATATTCGAGCAGTTCTGTTTCCATCATCGGCAAGTTGCAAAAGCTCGTTCTCTAATGAATCGAAAAGGAGCAACCATTTTATGAGAAGAAAAAATAAAATTAAAAAGACATACTTACATTTCAATAATGCCAAGACCAAGAAGGGCAACAAACTCATGTTTTTGGAAAAACGTTACTCCAAAAATGAATTGATAACTACAGTTGAATAACATTTACTGTCAAATTGCAAACAGGAATTGTTCTAGAAAGATCAAAAACAATAGATGCTCAAACTTCAGGTAGCAAGCCTTGAAAGAGCTCGTTATTTACGGTCAAAACATCTCATCAAATGATCATATTTGAGTAGTGACCTGAACAGATTAATTTTGCGCATATAAGGAAAATTGAAAAGATTTCAACTTTAGTTTTAAAAGTTTTGCTTTAGCTTGAGAAAAAGTGACTCTGAATATCCCGGCTGCTAAAAACTTTGCAGAAGGAAAAACGACAGAAAGGAACAGCCAAAATTTTAACTGGTCTGGTTTAAGTGTTTTAAATGTGAGTCTGCAAGTTGTATAGATCGAGAAAAATGTTACCATAACGCTACGCTTGCTTCTAGATTGAACTTGAAAACAAGAGACTCCGCACTTCAAATTTGCAATAAATGTTCTGTTATGTAAAGTTGTTTATTTGATAAGATCTGCATCTCAAACCAAAGAGAGATAATACAACGATGATCTGCAGTTCAAAATACGAAGGATTCTGGAGACGAAAAATCAATCAAGAAACGCTAATTTGACTATTTGTTGCAAGCTACTTTGCTGCTGGATCTGAAGTTCGTACTCGCAAAATGATAATAATTGTCTCCTGAGTCGTTTCAATATTCTTGAGTAGTCTTTAAAATGATTAGCTTCAAAATAACACTAAAGATCCGATCGATTTCGGATTAAGTACTTACTAAATTAGTGGAAAATAAAAGCATGGTCGATAAAACAAAAATCGCCAAAAATTAGCCTTAAACGCTAAATACTTGACAAAATCTTGACTCAGCCTCGTGGACCAAAACGAGAGAGTAAAGTTTTTACTTTCGGGTTCAAAAAAATTCTTGTTGAAAGGTTCCGTAGGATTTCTACAGGATTCTTATCCTGACTTACAATTCACCTCCATCGAGGTGCTCGATTTGTCTCAACTTTCTCGACCAAAAACTGGCATGTCTCGACTTTCTCGATCAAATTTTGGTTTGTTTCGATGTTCTCCAACAACAAATAACTGTTCGACTTTGTTCGACCCAGTTCAGGTATGTTTCGACTTTATCGACAAAAACTCCATATAATTCGACTTTCTTGACTTTTTCGACCGGCCTTTTTAAAACTTTGTTTGTTCGACCACGCATAGATTTGATTCAACTTTCTCGACCAAAATTCGATATGTTTCGACTTTCTCTACTTTCTTGAAGGGCATTTTTAAGAATTTTGATTTTCGATCCAAATAGATGTGTTTCGACTTTCTCGACCTTCTCGACCGAGAATTTTGTTATATTTGTAAATATGTTTGTTCGGTCCCGCATAGATAATTTTCCACTTTCTCGACCAAAAATCGTTCGACTTTTTCCACCGACGACTTTCGAAAACTTGTTTGTTCGACCCCGCATAGTTACGTTTCGACTTTTTGACCAAAAATGGGTATGCTTCGACTGTCTGAATTTTCTCGACGAACAGTAAAGTTTCCAAAATTTATTTGATCCATTTCAAATTCGTTTTATGCGGCGTGGCCGAATACTTGATGTGTACCCTAGTCAATCAAGTGAGGTTATCAGGATCATGCAAGATGGAGGTTTGCAATCTTGCAATCATCAACATTTACAACACAAGAAAAAAGTTTTTGTATTTGCTTCGACTGTGTTCGACTTTTGTTTCGACTGTTTTTTACCTTTATTTTGACCATGCTCAACCTATGTTTCTACTTTGCTCCACCTTTGTTTCGACTGTGCTTGACTTATTTTTCGGCTGTTCTCGACCTATGTTTCGACTGTGCTCGACATGTGTTCCGCCTTTCTCCGCCGAAATCGGGTATGTTTTGATTGTGCTCGACACATGTTCCGATCATGGTCGACCTATGTTTCGAAACTCCCGACCAAAAATGGGTATCTTTCGACTTTGTAGCCTTATGTTTCGACTTTCTCGGCCAAAATTGGGCATACTTAGACTTTGTGCTCGACTTAAAATTGCTTCTCGACCGTGGAATTTCAGTCGCAAAGCTGCACTTGCTCGACTTTCAAAATGGAAAATAAACCCGGGGAAAGCTGAAATGTTTTCTCCGGGAATTATATCGATTGAAGAATAAATTATTTGCGCTTCTTTTGATATAGTTCTCTTTGACCTACAAAAAATTTGCCTTTGTTCTAACCAGGTACAATTTTCTGTTAATGCTGAGGTGTTCGTTGTTTTTACTTAGTTGTCTAACACAGATATAACCTCTCAATTTATATTGTTTTCTTTGTTAAATTAAAAATCAATTGTTATGAACCCAATTGATTTGCCATACATAGTGACTAATAACCACAAAACTTTTCGAAATCCCTGATGGTCATCTCCGATTCAGCAGTATCTCAAGATGATGAAATTTGCAAATCTGAATCGTTGATAATTCATTGAATATTACAGCAATGGATCGATCAGAGGGCTTTCAGGAGTGCCAAAATACAATGGCTTCGTTTTGCATTTGCTTCACAATATTGTGGCTAAAACCATTAATAAAAATTTTGGTTAGTTGCCACCGCAATTATTTGCCTAGAAGGTATTCTGACACTAAATGAATTTGATGCAAATAACAATTATATAACGGCTATTTTGTAGGATTCTTGCCTATAATTCAGAGTATTTTGCTTATGATTTTATACGCCTATGTCAAACGAGTTTTGAAAATACATATTTGTTTGAAATATTTTTCAAACACTTCAGTAAATCATTACGAGGCCAAACTGTGCTTTTTTGAATTTTAAACGGATTCCGTAACAAGCCAAATTATGGTTTTTCGCAGAATCTAACACATTGCTACTTTTCTTTGATATTCTTCTTGTTTTGCATTCTACGGAAACTAGCTAAAACACTGTATTGCTCAAAAGTGCTCCAAAAACAGGCAATTTTGAGGAATCCGCAACTAATTTTGCGGAATCCGGGACTGTCTGTGAAATTCAAGAAGAACATAATTTATATGTTTACTAAACATAAGCTGTCGAAGAATCCGCACAATGAAGCGAAATCCGCAATAAGTAAGCGGAATCCGCAAATTATAACCAGATATCGCACATTGTAAGTGGAATTCGCCTAAGTTTGCAGAATCCAAATAAATTTGCGGAATCCGCTTACATTTGTGGAATCCGGGACAAATATCTATATTTACTCGTTGCGGAATACGAAAAAAAAACTAATGTGCCGACAAAATTTACGTTACTTTTATTTGTACGCGGAACCAACGTAAATTTTGTCAGTGGAAGTCACTTAAATTTCGGAACATCTTCAACAACTTGTCACTGGAATCCAAGACATATAGACACAAAACTAATTGTGCGCCTATCCAGTGCACAGTTTGTCCTCGTATTGATTTTGTTCAAACACTTTTCAAACGCTCCTGGACTTTTAATGCTTTTCGGCTCGCTTGTACTTCGGCATTTTGATACTGAACCATCATTCATTTTTCTTCCATCATTTCATCTGGTTTAACTATACTGGAATTTTGTTTTTTTTTTAATCAGTTTTTCAATGCAACGTCAGAGACGATGTTTAATCAAAACGACACTAGAATTATCAGAAAAAATGAAGTGGATTCATTTGTGATTCTATTTCATGGTAGCAAATTCAAAAGACAATGATCTGAAAATTCGCTGTCCAGTCTCAAACTAAGCCAATAGCCTAATTTTAGCGTTGAACGAACACTTGTTTTCTGCGATGAAAATTGTTTCAAATTGCAAGACTGTAGAAAGGAAGTAGAATAATCTCGAAAACAGTAGAAATTGTTGACTCAACACTTGTAACCTGTTATCATTTAAAAAAAGCTGGTTGATCCTTGAAACCTTTTTTTATAAAACATCGCAAAAAAATCTTTGATTTAAAAGCTGAGTTTTTGATGACTAAAGGGTATTGAAACTTCAGAAACAAAAATACTTTTTTGCCTATTACTAAAAAGTTCGTCTAATACAAATTTTTTTAATGCTTGCAATTAAAAATGATTGATTTTTCTTTGTAAAGCAGAATAATGGGTTTCTGCACATAACATGATTTTGCCTACTCCCGCAAAAAGTATGCATCAAACACGAATTAAAAAAGTTAATGCCAAAACAATTTTTGTTTGAAAAAGAGCAACCGACAAAAAATAATGCCAAACATCTGCTTAAATGGTGACTAATGTTCGGTGTCTTTTAAGACACACGTCCTATTTCTACCTTCGCATTTGTTTCTTCTATACAGTTAGCATAAAGAACGCGACGATGCTCGAATATAAAAAATTTATTGCAATGATTTCAGTTTTGGCGGCTTTGTCGGTAAGTGTGTTCCTATTACTCTGTAAACCCGAAACACCCAAAATAAGATTATTTGAGTTGTGTAAAACTCAAAAAAATTATGCTTCTTTAGTTTCATTGGAAAAAAAAATTGTTAAAAAAAAAGAAAAAAAAAGTTAAGTATGATTTGTTTACTGCTGAGTAATAGTCAAACTTTCAGCTATTTTTTTTTAAAACTGACAAAAAAACTAAATCATAGAACAAATATTTTGTCATTTAAGTAATTTTTTGTCACAAGTTGATTCACTAGCAAAGAATTTTCTCTAAAAAATTTGGCTACGCCAGTTGAAATTTTGAGACAGAACTCATTAAGCAGATCGCAAAAATTTGAAGTTTTAGTTTCAAAATAATTGTGTTGAATTCTAAAGTTTTAATAGCTGAATATTGGATTTACAGGTTTCATGGTATTTTCATTGCAACAAAATTGATAATAAAGCTTTTCATAGATTATACCTAATGCAATTCATATTTAAGTCAAGCATACGTGTCAGTAAAAGCTAAATATTTTATCTAATTGTGAAATGGCAACCTCAAAAACTTGTCTAAATAATTTGTGGTTTTTTTTCAATGGAATGGATGGACGCTTATCATACGTATTCTAATTCAAATTTGTCACTCCGAATCTACAAATTCGCCAGTACAGAGTTCAAATTCAACAAACTGTTTAAAAAAAGGAACTCAAACTCAAAACAAGAAAGACAGATACAAGAAAAGTAAATTTGAAATATAAAACTCTAGCAGAG